ATGATTATAAACAACAAAATATATCCAGTTTCATTATTAACCTGCGTAACGCAACAGATCCACTGTTAATAGTCTTGTCATATAAACAAGTTTTTTTTTCCTTGGCACTACAGCCCCAGTGGGCCTAGGCCTACCTCCATGAACTCCGTTCACTTCGGTTTTTCTAGATCTTACACATATGGTAGGACTCCTTGGGCGAGTGATCAGCTCGTCGCAAGGCCTCTACCTGTAGGCAAACACAAAAAAACGCACACAAACATCCATGCCTTGAGTGGGATTCGAACCCACGATCCCGGCTTCCGAGCGAGCGAAGACAGTGCATGCCTTAGACCGCTCGGCTACCGAGACCGACATAAACAAGTTTTACATGAGATTATTATGTTTAAAGACATTAGAAATACTTGTTGAATATTAGTAAACCTTGTATGCTATTGCTAAGCTCTGTCGTGAGGTTCGTGTTTCATTTATAGAGTTGTTTCTTTTTCCTTTTGTGTTGTTTCTTTGTTTTGTGTTTATGAACTAACTGATTTATAGAACAATTTCATTCTATCAGATATTTATTAAAAAGTCTAAAGGTGTTGTAATCCAAGGGCATATTTCCATATTAATGGCATATACCACAGGATGCTAAATATGCGAACAAGATAATGCAAGAATATGATGCGGTTAAATTTTATGAAGCAAGATTAATAATATTAATATGCACTTCATTAAATAGGTGGGAGTCTGTTGTCTGGATTCATTTGAAGCAGGATAAGTACGAACGGTGGGTTTTGTGGAGAGTGTAATGAATCTTCGGGTTCTGTAAAAATCTGTGAATATCTCAGTCGGCTAAGAGACTATTAGCTCCCCAATAAAGAACGCGATTTGTGGAATTTATTAGATTTTCTTGCAAAGAAATAGGGAACAAAATATTTTTCTCCAGTTTTTCATCAAAGCGAGCTAGATACCTCATCACGGGGAAGAAGAGGAATTTGTGGGATATTTGTGGGAAAACTAGAAGGAAAGGGACCAATGAAAAGACTGTAGGTTGGTGGACGATATTAAATTGGATCTTGGAGAGATAGGATGGGATGATATGAATTAGACTGATCTGGCTCAGGATATTGATCAGTGGAGGGCTCTTGTGAACACGGCAATGAACCTTCTGCTTCCATAAAGCTCCGGGAATTCCTTGAGTAGCTGCACAATTAGCAGCTTCTCAAGAAGGGCTCAGGTACATGAGTGAGTGTAAAGAAATACAAAAGTGTAACAGAAATTCGACAAGACAGGTCAATTTATATTGTCGCGTAAAATGCCACATTTCTTAAAGTTCAGTTCATTCGGTATGGAATTAGGTTAGGCGAACTTAAAAGAAATAATAGCATATGTGGTTTATAAAGAAGGTCTCATATACATTTATGAAACACGCCGTTTAGTAAGGCAATCAGAAATCTAACCGCCGTTAGTTTCTTTTATATTGATTATCTTCATTCTGGGACCTCCTCTGTGTTCTAGTGGTGAGAGTTCCTGGCTACAGATCCAGGGGTCCCGTGTTCGATTCCCGGCGCTACCAGATTTTCTGAGAAATAGTGGATCTAGAACAGGGTCCACTCAGCCTCGTGAGGATAATTTCGGAGCTATTTCAAGGAAAGAGCGGCTCCGGTCTAGAAAACCGGGATTAATGGCCGTGGGGATTCGTTATGCTGACCACGCGACACCCTCTATCGGCTAAATTTGGCACTAACTTCGCCGATAAGAGGCGGTCGCTCGCTCGGTATAGTTCGCTTGCGGACTACAGGCCACGATATTTTTTTATGGTTTAAAAAGAATGTCTCATACAAATTTATGAAACCAGCCGTTTAATAAGGCAATCAGAAAACTAAACGTCGTTATTTTCTTTTATATTTTTCATCTTCACTGTGGAACGTTACGTAGCTATACGAGTATAATCTCCACTGTAGTAAAAATGCCTGCCACGTTTTTATTTCGTTTTCATGATCATCATATCATGACATATATTTAAATTTCGCTTTAGTGTTTTGCATTCTGGATTTCATAATTTGGAAGCCGTTACATATTTCAAAGTTGATATATTTTGACGCATGTTCTGTGAGTACCTTCCCAAATTCTTAAAATTAACTACCCCAGCGCTTACTAACCAAAGCAAGTGCTTGGAGACTGCACCGTCTATGAATAGAAACAGACACAGAGCAGCAAGGAACATCAATACAGCCGGCACCTCATTCGTGAATCAATAGAAATTGCCACATTAACGATACCACCAACAAGAGCGACGAACATAAATTAATTTCGACATGTCACATTGAAATTCGCCCTCCAACAAAACGTAGAGCATACACAATGCATATTGCGTGCATCCCCCACCTAATGAAAAACATACAAAAATAGGTCATTAATAATCCTATGATGACAACGGAGAATAATACGATAAAATGTGCTTTCATATTTTGTGGCGCCTTGTTAGAACTGTGGCTGAAGTTTTGGGCCTATTATATGTATATATATTTCAGGTTGAAGTTTACTTTAAACAATAGGATTTTCACGCATTCAAATTTATAAGTTATGTTGCTGACAAATCTCAAATAGCTCAAAACTGGTTACAGATATTAGAATATTTTCAAATTACTATCATCATAATGTATATCTGAAACTAATTCTTTCTTACTATCATATTTTATATCAGCCATGGTTCTACCGGTCATTCAAATATTAATGGTATCGACTGTAAATTTATATATTCTGCTTTCGCCACTATTCAATCATAAATTTAACGTGTCAGTGTAATTATAATTATTATTATTCTTACTCTTAATTGTTATTTAAATTGTATAAAATTCATTATTTTTGTATTCTTTATCTGGTGTTTTGTTTATCTTCTTTCCCGTGCTCAACTTGTAACTGGCCTTTGGGCCGTTAAGTATATTTAGGTATGCAAACAGTAGATCTAACTGTATTCTAATTTAGAAGGGTTTAATCCAGGATCGTTGGTGAATAATGTACTTGTAATAATATGCACAGAAACAGTCATGATATCATCTGGTGTACTATCACGGCGTTCTGTCTCTCTGTCTATCTAACTATGGCTCTACAGACCTTTTGGAGCCAAACCGCTTTTCTGGTTTCTTAATCATATACAAAGTCGGTAGTGTTCCTTGGAGGGTCAGCCTGTCGCAAGGCCGTTACCTACACACAGAACAACACAAACGCACAATAAAAGTACACAGACATCCATGTCTCGACTGGGATTCGAACCCACGATGCCCGTGTTCGAGCGGGCGAGGGCGGTTCATGCCTTAGGTTGCGCCACTGGGATAGGGACGGAGTTCTGACTAGGACAGGAAAATGACGAAAAACCTCAGTCCTGCTTGACGGCTTTAAATATTACTCCTCACTGAAAATTCTGTCAGTCAGGTTTGTCCGAAGTTTTTTTATCTAACAAACTACACGTCACATCCTCAGCATCTTCTCTTTTTAGAGTCTTTAACTACGCCCCCAGTATAGGAACCAGCTGAGTCGGACGGTATTATCATACGTTAATGATGAATTGGAAACGGTTTGAAGGAAGTGATCGTGTCCAAATTATGATAATGTACCGGAATTTGCCATGAAGGTAGGAGGAAAACCATGAACATCCTCAAGATATTAGTGTCCCATCAAGGATTCGAACCTTGTATCTCCCGAATACAACTCTAGCGCTTTATATTTAAACCAACTTCTCCAGTTATAACATCTTAGAAGGCAGTGACATTAACTATAGGAAACACAGGACGAAAGAACAATAAATAATATATTTATTGCAAATGCTAATTTTGCACAGTAAAACAGTTTCACTGATGGAAAAACGATATATATTTACTTTAAATGCCTAAATATATATTAAATGAAATGTAATTGGTAAAGAGGTGCTTAACTAATTAAGCACTACGCCATGAAGGTGTATGGGGGCGTGGATGTATAGATCCACATTTTTTGACCTCGTTACCAGTTGGAGGTGAGTGGTCAGTTTCACGCCCTGACCGCTTTACCCCCAGGGAACTCCCCCCGGTACCCATCGGATAGGAAATGGAGCCGGTCTGGACAACATGGAGAAATGAAAATTCTTGCCCCTACCGGGACTCGAACTCCGACCGCTCCATCGTCCAGCCCCCAGCCAGTCGCGCTATACCGACTGCTTTATCTTCCTTATTTGTTAGGCAGTCGGTTCAAAATTTCTGGGTTGAATATCCTGACTGGGCTTTATACGTGGTCTTCCTCAGTCGTTTTGGCAAATGACGTGTTAATGCTGTATTTGTATGTAATTAGTTAAGTTAGTAGACTCGGCAACAGTTCTGACTTGTACTCGAGAAGTTACGAGTTCTAACCTCGGCCATGACACAGATTATCTCGAACGAGGTTATGCTTCGATTTTCTTAGTTCCGACAGGCAAATGCTAGAAAAGTACCAGATTAATTTATTCGTCTCTTTTCGTGGTTTCGATGGCTGAAGCTGTAACACTACTGAATTTATTTAAGCGACGATCATTTCGAATCTCGATCCTAAGACGACTATTCTAACTCAGACATTATTTTGTGTTTTATTTTAAAACTTATTTTACAATCTAATGTGCAAATATGTCAATAAATGTAAGATTTGAGGCTTTCACGGCGGTGACTATGAAGAAAGCAGTCTTCTGGGATTNGGGACAGTGCAATAGAATGCTACAATATCGTATCATTTTTGTGATTTTCCTCTTTAGGCGAATGCTGGGATATTACTGTGAATAAGTCAAAATCATTTCCATCGACATCCTTTCGGATTCAACATTCATCAGTCATCCTACTATTGGCTACTGACAACATCGTTAAATATACTAAAAATATTAATAAAAAATTAAACAGGCTTATAAATACGAGAGAAGGATTAAAACAGTTGAACTGGTTGCAGAGCAATGAAATCAACTAGCTGTTTAAATGTGATGCATTTGACTGGATAGTAACGTCCCTTGATGGGAAGCTTACCGGTGGAGAAGTAAGTGTCGTAATGGCTTCGCTGAGATGCTTCAGATTGAGCGTCTGTTGCTGGTCATTCACTGCTACAGTATCTAACGGAACAGCCGCCTGAAACGAGCTCTGTCGTGTTGTTGCTTTCCCATCGCCATCTTCAGTAGCAGAGTCCACCACGTGGGCAGACATCCGTCGAAATGGGCACGCCATGTCTTTACACAAGAGTAAAATACTGTACAGTCAACACTTTGTTCTCACTGACGTTGTAATAAATATATTTAGTAGTAAGTAAACAGAACATGCGTGGTAATATTGATGTCTTATTTCATCCATTTGACAAATGTTTTGCTTAAAACATCACGACACTTTTGTTGAGTAACTAGACAAATACGGTTATTAAAAACAGAATTTCGTGCGTACCGATATATTCTACAACGTATACGTAATATATATAATTTAATTGTAAGCTAACAAATATATGCAACTATCAGTATGGCATTCAACCTAAATATTTACAGCCAGTACATGTATCTGCAAGTCATGAGACACCGTGTTCGTGAAAGAAAATATTACTGAATAAAACTGTTAATTTCACCGGTTATACGTTGGAATGAAGATGAACGACCCGTCTCTGTGTATAGTTACTCTAATAGCGTCGTGTCCAAAATTAGTTTAAACCACAGAGTCCTTCACACGCATCCGCTCGGGGAGAGACACCGCCCCGCACTGAAGTTCAAACTTACAGCGGCCGACACTAGCGCCGCCACAGGCCGTTATCCTGCTCGCGAGGTTACGTGCTAACGGCCTCAGCAATCACATTTATGCGTTATTTCAAGGACATATATTAAGCAAACGCATAATAGTGATGTCATGTATGACGGTGTTCTGTCCGCATGCGTCATCTGCGGTAGATAACATCTGGTATATTTAGTAAGGTAAAGTAAAGGTAGCCGGTCACGGTAGCCGAGCGGTCTAAGGCATGCACTGTCTTCGCTCTCTCGGAAGCCGGGATCGTGGGTTCGAATCCCACTCAGGGCATGGATGTTTCTGTGCGTTTTTCTGTGTTTGTCTACAGGTAGAGGCCTTGCGACGAGCTGATAACTCGCGCGAGGAGTCGTACCGTATGTGTAAGATCTAGAAAAACCGAAGTGAACGGAGTTCATGGAGGTAGGCCTAGGCCCACTGGGGCTGTAGTGCCAAGGGGAAAAAAAAATGACCATCGAAACACACACAAAAACACTTATCTTTGAAAATGGAGTGTGATAGCTTTACATCGCTCTGAATGTATCCGCCAATAAGGTAGCATTTCAAATAAATAATTTAGATCAGTATCTCCAAAATTTCTCCCAAGCAAACCTTCTGATTTTGAAGAAAAATAAGTGATGGATTTACCAAAAAAAAAAAAAATAAAATGAACATATTAAAATTAAATATGGCCGAAAACTTTTATGTTAATCTGAAATTAAAGAAATATCTAATTGAATACACATTACAATATTGTGATAGAAAATAATAGGTTGGTTTTTGTGACGTTTACTTTCACTTATTAGGTTTTTCCAAAAAAATTTCAATACTTTCTTGGGCTCTATTTTCTGAACCATTAATCTACGGGGGATTTCATATTCACGGCAGTGCCGATTCAACATGTCGCACAATTAAAACAGCTTCCCATTTATCTTAAGGGCACAATATCACTCATTTTAGGATTCTGTAAAATTGAAAGATTTCATTGAAAAAGTTACTGGCATTACATCCGCGAAGAACAGTTAGTAAATCTCTGATTTCGATTATATGGGTAGTTCATAGCAGATGTTTTTATTAGTTATGGATAGAGCGTGTTGCATGGCTTGCTTGTTTACCGATGGGTAATTATTCCACGGCTCTACCAGCGTAGATCAATAGGTATATCAGGCGCCTTCATTGGTACGCAGAAAATGATTTCCAAACTAGAAGCAGGTAACCCCGCCACGTACTAGATGTTTGTGTTCCCCAGGAATGCAAATACCTTGTTAGAATCTACTGCCCCAGAAACTGGGTAGTTTTTAATATTCACTAAATGGCTCTATACACGATTTTTAGTCATGTTTATCGTCTGTATAAATACCAAATTTTACATGCCTAACTTTAAGGATTTCTCTTTATCCTTAAAAAACGGAGAGCTTTATTTAGATATTTCGTGAAATAAAAACAAGACAGTTTCGAGAAATGTCTGCATAAAACACAACACACAAATAACACACATAACACAAAATAACACATCAAACTCAAAACACAGCATCCAAAACTACACGAACAATAAAGGATACTACACATAATGAATATAATGCAAATACAATTACAACTACAAATACGTGCGTGAATAATCATAGAACATGCTTAAGAACCATATATCAGAAGGAGGTATTCTTTCGATATTACCATCACTCATCCAATTTTACACAAAATGCAGTTTGTAATCTTTGTTTATATTAATAAGTAGCAGCATATTATAATGAATGATCTGAAATGCAACGAATTCTCAGACTATTCGACGTCGCAATTCCCTTCCCACTACCTCATTCAATATGTAATTTATCGACTATGAACATTTGCTATCAGGAAAGATGTATGCGACAGTGCCGGATTAAAAATAAGCACAACTCACTGCAGCATAAACGTAATATCCGAAACGTCTAACAATTCCACATACTACAAAACTACAGAATTTGGATAGCAACAGATGAAAAGAATTAGGCTCATATATATATATATAGGTATGTGCTCTGCCTCACGTTTTTTATCAAGAGTGACGTACTTTAAACTGGTGAAAAAAGTGCAATTTCAGCATTAATTTAGATTAATTTTGTCGTGGTGGACTTCCTGGAAAACACTGACGCGTTGTACCAGAACATAAAACGCTGTAATCTCATGTACTCAAGGATACAAAGGGCTTCTCAAAACTAATTATAACAGTATTAGTCCCAAATGAAATGTGACACTTTTAAATAGAAGCCAAACTTTTGATTTATAATTTCTACTCATCACTAAACGTCATTAAGGTAATTAACTTGTGGCGTGTAGCACGAATGGGAGAAATTTGAAAGGAGAAGAAATATCAGTCGGAAAACTTGAAATGGGAGTCCAAATGAGAAATTTAATCACAGATGTGAGAGTAGTGGGATAAACTGGATCTTAGATAAGTTAGTTATGAAAATGTGGACGGGATACAAGTAGATTAGGAAAGAGATTAGTCACATGTCCTTATGAACGCGGTTCCATAAAAGTCAGTGAATTCTTTGACTGAGTGCTTATTAACTTCACAAGAAAGCCTCTGCTCCATGAAATAAACAGCTAAATATTTGTTGAGAGTTAAAAACCCTGTAAACTAAACAAAGTACCTTCACGGCCATATTGTCATTATAGGCCGGTCACGGTAGCCGAGCGGTCTAAAGCATGCACTATCTTCGCTCGCTCGGAAGCCGGGATCGTGGGTTTCAATCCCACTGAGGGCATGGATGTTTAGTGTTGTGTGTGTATGTTTATGTACAAGTAGAAGTCTTGTGACGAGCTGATCACCCGCACAAGGAGTCCTACCGAATGTCTAAGATCTAGTAAACCGAAGTGAAACGGAGAGTTTCATGGAGGTAGGCCAGGGTTCAAATTGGGGCTGTAGCGCCAAAGGGGGAAAAAAGATGCTGCTTGGTGATAAATTGTTACGAATTTTTATGGGAAATAATTTATCAGCTAATGTTACTTGCACACCTTCTTCTGCTTTGTAGTCATTTCTTGTTGACGCTGAAATCATAAAAGATAGGATCCGGTAAACTAAACCATACTAAACGAACACATCTTTTAATCCATCTTCAGGACGACATAAAAAGATCTTGTAACAATGTGAGATTTGAGGTTTTCACTGCGGTTACTTTGAAGATGTGATGCCGTGTAGATCTTGTGTGAACCAACGTTTCGGAAGAACGTATCGCCTCCATTTTCATGGTAGAAAAACCGCCAGCCAGGAACCATATTTCCTCGCTCCTGAAAATTTTCTATCATGAAGATGGAGGCGATATGTTCCTTCCAAATTTCGGTTCACACAAGATCTACACGGCATCAAATCCAAGAAGACGGTATTCTTATTCTTGTAACAATGTTACAAGCTCATTTTTCATCTCTGTTTATTGTGAATCAGTGGCCTTGTCTCCATTTAAATAGGAATTTAAGTAAGTCTTCTTGTTCAGTATTACACTTCCTTTTCGTTGTTTCTGAGTCTCAAGAAATACCCAGGAACGAACTTTATTGAACGCCCTTTAGCGAATCGTGACTTCGTGCCTCTTCATCTGAGTGGGGATTTAGTCTGTAAGAAGCAGATGTTTGGCTGTTATGGGTTCTCCGCACTCTAAAAATATCATCTTGCTGTGTATTCTGTAGTTCATTTTATGTACCTAAACCTGCAGATGCGGACCCGGAGACAGACGCGACGCAGTCTCTTGTAGCTTTGCTACACTTTCGGTTCGGTTATTTTGTATTAAGTGATCATTTGGACTAAACAATGACCGCTTCTGTGGTCTAGTGGTCAAAATTCCTGCCTACAGATCCAGAGGTCCCGGGTTCGATTCCCGGCGCTACCAGATGGGAAGTAATGGGTCTGCAACGGGGTCCACTCAGCCTCGTGAGGATAATTGAGGAGTTATTTCATGGAAATAGAGGCTCCGGTCTGGAAAACCGAGGTTAACGATCGTGGGGATCCGTTGCGCTGACCACGCGACACCCTCTATCCGCTAAAAGTTGGCACTAACTTCGCCGACAAGCGGCGGTCGCTAGATCGGTATAGTTCGCTTGCGGATTACAGGACACGGAGTTTGTTTCTTTAGTAAACAGGGAGGAATTAACAGAATTATTTACAAAACTATATAAGTGTATATATAAAGTGACTTTAATTTATGTCCTCCAGACATTATTATGGTTATAAAACGAAGAATTATACGTGGTTGAGACATGTAACACGTATGTAGTATTAATTCCAAAATTTGTTCTCGGGAAATCTGAAGGGAAATGCCACTAGGAAAATCTGGCATTGTCGGGAGAGGGGTTAATATTAAAGTAGATAGTACATACGTTTAAACAAGTGGAACGGTATGGACTGGATTCCCGTGGTTCCAGAGAGACGCATGTGGTGCATAAACAAGTTACGAGATACAAGTGACATACGCGAAACTAATCTGAACATACATACGACGCGGACACAAACATGGACGCCACAAAGGGGAACGGAGAAAGAGTTTTGTTCTCAAATAAACGTATCATAGCATGAGCAATGATATGCAATAGCATGGAAATATATTGACTTAGATCTAGTGCAGTGCGACAGTTTAAAAAAGTGAACAATTGTCTGAAGATGGCCAATCGGGACCGAAGAATGTAGCAATTGATGTGATTTTAATACCATTTTAAATTGAGGAGAGACTGTGAACAATTTTAAATTACATTAAAGACTAAGGTGAATGAGGCAGGAAGAATATTAACATTTTAATTTCAAGAAAAATGAGGTATTTTCTGACTAGATACATGACTATCAGCTTATCAAGAAGGACTCTGATCCCTGGGGCTAGCTAAGAGTTGAGTATTGAGTACTGATATCGGGGGGGAAACCCCCGATTGCTACAAACACTCAGACCACAATTGGGTCATTTTTCGCCCCTTTTCTTTACACTAGATCTCTTTAAAAGAGCCCTGCCGTAAGCGCT